AAAAAAAAAACACATAAAAACTTCAAATTTAGTGGGAAAGGTTTACTATCATTCGAAAGAGCTTTCTTCGGCATTTGGAAGATTATCTCTTTAAAATGTWGARAATGTTGGCTACGTCTCAGATGGTCYWTCCATTGAGTMCAATTTTCATTGACTCGTTCATTATCATGGTACGATACCGTCGCCATTAATTTTTTTAAGAGATATGAGCCGATGATTCCACTGACCCACAAMCCACATCAAACCGTTGATTGAAATGACAGCTCTTAAATCTCTTTAAGTTGCTCTTTATCCCAAGTGCGGCAATTTTGCTTTTAKATAGACCCATTGAGYCAGAAATGGGCCTCATCGCTGAACRAAATTTGGCACAAAAACCCTGGATCTTCTTAGAACTAGAGCCCATAGAGCGAAACTGTGTTGCTTGGGAAGGTGTAGAAACTTCAGTTTTTACACAAGCTGTAAGTTTGTGGGTTTATATGTACTGAACAAAAGTGACAYGACAGCTTTATATGACTCGCGCGTGATCTGCCAAAAATAGCCCATTGAAGAAAGTACCGCTATTCGGATCACCCGTTTTAAATTAATTCTATGCAATATGAAATCAATTATTTTATATCAATTTGCGTTTTAATTTGCATTTTACAAACAAGTTAATGGCTAACTAGGGTCATGACTTCTTTGTTATTTAATAAATGACTGTTTATATTACTAAGTACGTCAGTTGCCATTTGGTTGATTAAAACAACAAGTGCATGTGGATATTAGCGCGGAACTACAAATATGATAATTTTCATTTTTACAATTGTTTTTGCGATGGTTTAGTTTTAATTTAATTTTACCTCAATTTTAAATTTCGTTTTTTTTTAATATTAGAATTAAACCGTAAATTATTTGTTTAATGAAGTGAGAATTTTTTAGAAAAAAATCCTTATACTGATAAGTTTTCTAAACTCTATGCTGTAGAATGAGGTACATAATATTGAACAGCTTACTTCTAAACTAACTAAAATATATATAATCCGCCTTAATACATGTACATAGATATTTTTGTACATTTAAGTGTTACAGTGATATTATAAAACTTGAAATGATATTTCTAATTAAATATACGCTTCCACAAACGATTACATAATCACAATGGCAATWAGGTACATAAAATAAATAATAGCTTATTAGATGTTATTTAATTCTGATTGCATGCGATGTAAGACCGGCTTTTCCGAAACCATTACAAAACTATTATTATACTTAATTTAAATGTAATAATATCGTAGATTCAAAACCATTAAGTAAAACATTTTAAATGCGCGAGCACAGCACGGCCAAGGAGCTACAGCAGTTTATTTGAAAAGCGTTTTTAAAACTAAATTTTATTTCAGTGTTAGTGGCTACAAACTTATTTGACCTTATTCAGGCTGTTAAGCCCGAACTTGGCTTTTATAGAACGTTCACCCAGTAAAAAGTCTTAATAAGACTGAATTAATTTTCCACTTTTTAGGCTAAAAGAATTTATAATTGCATTCACATTACTACTAATGTATATTAGAGTGAGCAAAAATCGATTTTTTTTTCGCTTGGTACCATGAAAAGATAATAATGTAATAATAGATTCCTAGACACCTCTACGAAAATCTCTCCAAGCATGAGCACTGAATTGTAACTGCAAGTTCTTCCGCCTTATAGTTTTCTACTGTTTTTTTTATTATCAAATAAAAAATTCATTACTCGTTTAAATTTTTTTGGAAAAGTACCTCGTTTCATAGATTTTGCCAAAAATTGAATGCTATCAATTAAATAATAATAAAAGAAAAAAAATAAGTAGGTAAATCTCCTACAAAACTACACACATATATTGCAATTTTAAATTTATTTAACAGTTGAATTTGGTAAAAAAATCAAAAGCTGGCAACCTTCTTTCAAATATATGTTTCTCTGTAAACATTCTTAAGCTGCGCTTATTTTAAACTTTTTACTGCCTTAAAATGTTTAAATTGGTTAAATCTTGTTAAATTTGTTGTACTTTTTACATTTTTTTCAATGTTTCTTTCCATTGAATTCAAAATTCATAAAAAAAATTACTTCAAATAATTAACTTTCAACCATTAAAAAATGCTAAATGGTTAGATTTACGAAAAATGGTGCGAGACGACGCTCCAAAAATGATGTTCGAAAAGAGGAAAAAGAAGTTTATTTAGTTTTTTCTTTCAAACTCTTCAAATTGAGCTCATTCATCAATTATTCTTTAATAGAATTTGTTACGAAATAATAGAAATAAGTAACAAAACATATTTGGTTTTGCTTGTGTGGTTATGTTTTTGTGGCTGATAAAAGTCATTTTCGTAAATATGCTCGCACTTCTGCTCATCACTGTGAATAATACAATATTGTAAACTTATATTTCCGTCTTTCAGATCCCCGCGCAACACGTTTTCCCCTAATGGAACATCCCCTTTACACATTCGGTTTGGTTGCCATATACCTGTCTTGGGTCCTCTTGATCGGACCAACATTCATGCGCGACAGAAAACCCTTCCAACTGCGGCGTACATTAGTCATCTACAATGCCTTTCAGGTGGCGTTAAGTGGGTACATGTTTTACGAGGTGAGTATGAGCCATTAAGCAAACGAAAAAAAAAGTTATTTAATAATATTTACGCATATTTCATATGGTACATTAGTGAGGCATAGGAAATTGTATTTTAAATATAGAAAAGTGTTGTAAATAAATAATTTATTTATTACGCAAATATGGCTGGTAATAGGCAAATATAGAGAATATGTTGGATGAGTGTGCTGTTTAAAATTATATTCTTTATAACTTCTAATTAGGGTAAGTCTATCCCGTTGCTAATATTGGCAATAGTTTTTCACCCAAGTGAAGTAACAACCATAAAAAAATATTTAAACAAATCTGTAACTAAAGCATTGTTTGCGGGTAAAATTCTTTTACGAAGTTTACAGCACTAGCGAACTTCAGAACGGAAAAAAGGTGTAAATGAAAATAAATTCAGATCAATAGAAGAATATGAAACTTTACAACGAGCTCAAGCCAGCATGGCTGAAAATTAAAAATAGAAAATTAAAAAAAAAAAATAGCTGAACTGAATCTGAATTAAAAACAATTTTTAAATTTCTAATCCTAAATCCGGAAGGAAACTTTCAAATTACGTTTTTTTCCCCAAACCAAAACTGGATTGAAAATTACAAAAACAAAAAAGATACCAAAATGTAAAAAAAAAATCAAACTTTAAGCAGTAACATTTTGTAGTAAAAATTAAATTTTAAAATTATAAACAGCAATATTTTGTTTGAAAATTTTGATTTTCATTTCCCAAAACTGAAATATCAAATTTTTATTAAATATACAATAAAAATTAAAAAAAAATTATACCCACTCAAAAATAAAATATATATAAAAAATATTTTTATTTTTATAGCACCTGATGGCTGGTTGGCTGAACAACTACAATTTGAAATGTCAACCCGTGGATTACTCAGATGGACCAATGTCAAAGCGGGTAAGTGATGCGTGAATACRTTTTACTAATGTTATTAAAAGATAGGTTGATATAAATATATTGATAGATAATTATAAAGAGAGGGGCCTATTTCGACGTTCCCTACTTTTAATGTTAAGAAAAAACACAGAAACTCCAAATTTAGTGGTTTATTATCATTCGAAAGAACATTATTTAGCATTTATTTATTCTAATATGGTTCATCCGTTGCGTCGAATTTTCGATGACTCGTTCAAGTATCTCGACTGGTAATCACACAGGTGACGTTTTGCTTCAAGGTCTAAATTGAAGCGGGATTGTCCGCATAGACTTTAGACTTTACATATTACCACAGGAAAAAGTTTTACGGTTTGATATCACTCGATCTTGGTAACCAATTAACTAGCCAAAAATGTGAAATTATCTTCACACCCAAGTTCTCTATCATTACATTGATTGATTGATGTTATGTATGGTATGGAAAGTGGTGCCGTCTTGTTGAAGCCAAATACCATTGAGATCACGAGCTTCAATTTCAGACATCAAATAGTCGGTTATCACCATCATATCAATTTGCTGGTTTAYATACCCATTAACCGAGAAATGACCCTCACCGCTGAACAAAGTTTTGCTCGAAAACGTTGTTCCAAGAAGAACTTTTCAAAAAAATAGTACGGAGATTTTTTTTTTTTTTTTTTTTTTTTGATAATTTTTCTTTATGACCAACAAAAATATAAATCATTTGTACCTTAACCAAGAACACACAACCAATGTAGAACATTAAGAGATGACTTTAACTTTGCTGTAATTTACCACAAGCCATGAAYACAATATTTCTATTTTTTATACTACTGTACCAAGTAGAGTGGTGAGCATTCAACTGCTTAAAACTATAAAATTATTTTGATATTAGAGAGTTTAAACTCACTATATTTCAGTAGTTTTGCATTCCGTAGGAAGCTAAACAACATGCTAACTTAAACGCACAACAGTTAAAAGCAGGACTCCAAAAAAAAAAATAATTTTCATATTTTAAAGTTTTTAGTTTTCAAACGCTTTATGACACAAAAAAATAAAAAATAAAAAATAAAAATAAAAATTAAAAAAAAGGCAACTGCAATGCGATTAGCTCATGTTTGTTTTCGTCGCCAACTTTCAAGGTTAATGTATGGCGAAAATGCGGCTTAACATGCAACCAAACATATGCGGACTTAAAGCCAATCTCACAGAAAGCGATCAGCGCAGAAAAGGGAGAGTGCGACGCGCAGTTGGCAGCTGAAAACAAGAGATCAATTTGAATTTCTGTTTAACATAACGCGACTAACAGCATTTCGGGCGTTGAATTCGTTTTTTTTTTTTTTCAATTTCTTTGTTGTCCATTGCCGCCTTTGCTGCACTTACACAGACAATTTGGCTTTTAGGCGATCATCTCTCATTTCAGACATCTCTTGCTTTCTCTTTTTTGTCAAATTAAACAGGTATTTCCAAATGCTTTGTACAAGTTCAAGTCAATATTAATTAAATATATAATTATTTGCATAATTTAAATATGAATACATTCATTCGCTGGGTAAACCGCTGTAGAGCTTTATATGCAGCTGAGTATGGCAATACTTTTATAAATAAAAAATGGGAAACAATCAAAGCAAATAATTTGCATTTCATATATAACTAATTTATTGTAATGTCACTAAACCCAATCTCTCAGTTTGATGTCATTGATTTCAGAAAGAGGGAACTTAATGTTTATTTGGAGAATTTTGTATAGTAAAAACAAAAACGGTTATATTRTATACATATATTTACTAGGGGATCCAACTACGCGTCGCTGTGGTATTTATTTTATACTATTGATACTATATATTCGTTGTCAAAAAAGTCTTGCGGTATTTTCGCTAGTTGGCGCTGAGAGCGCGTAGTTCTAGTTTTATTCGTCGCATCGGTAATACTATGTCTTTTTTAAAGCTAATTTCACACGCTAATACGTGTTTGATTGATTGTCGTTTCTTTTAAGTCGTTCGTGAGTTATAGCGTCGCAAGCATATAGCAAAATAAAGAGAAAATACGACATATTTTACAGTACTACTACGATAAAGGCAAAAATGCATCTCAAGCCGCCAATAAAATTTGTGCAGTTTATGAACCCGATACAGTTTCCATTTCCACCGCACAACGATGGTTTCAACGTTTTTGTTCTGGTGTAGAGGTGGTCGAAGATGCGCCAGGCTCCGGAAGGCCTGTCGTCGAAAATTGCGATAAAATCGCTGAATTGGTCGAACGAGACCGGCATAGCAGCAGCCGTAGCATCGGTCAAGAGCTGGGCATAAGTCATCAAAAAAAATTTTATGAACAATTGAAAATTAAATAAAAAAATACCGCAAAAATACCGCAAGACTTTTTTGACAACATAATAAATTTATTTTAAAAAAATGCTGCTTTCTCAATGTCTTTCTGTCCATTTATCAGAGTTGTCCGCTAAATAAATTGTACTTAATAAACATCAACAATTTGCATGGATAATGAATATGTCCGCTTAATAGAGCGACTGTTTTTATTTGTTTTACTATGCTATCTTCTAAGTTGGTTTGAGCTGGACACAGTKTGCTAAATTTTACTAAAATCGGTTCAGTGGTTTAGGAATCCATCGCGGACAAACAACGTGACACGTACYTTTTATATATAAAGATATAGAATATATAAAATCTGTAAAAAAATACTACAATTTAAAAATGGTTTCAATAAATATTTAAATCTTTACTGTGCACCAACCGCCCACCAAGCAAATAATCAATGTATATGCATATATCTAAAAGGTGAATTAAAAATTTAAATAAATTTCACTTAGTCGCGAATTATTGTTGCACTATATACATATGTAGCATTATTTTATCAGTTTAATTACGTTAAAAAATTAATAAGGTGGCAAAGCTTTCAAATATGTGTTTCACTGCAAATATTTTTAAACTGCGCTTATTTCAAAATTTTTATTTATTTAAAATTTTTAATCAGGTGGCAACTCTTTTTTAATTTCTTTTCTTTTTCTAAAGCTGGTAACTGTATTTACCCAAACATTTTTAGCAGCTAGCTCTTCCTAAAATTACTTATCTAAAAAACGTGGCAACGCCTTCCAAAAATATATTTCACTGTAAAATTTTAATTTTTATTGACTTAGAGTCTTTAAACAAGTGGCAACTATTTTTAAAATAGTTCTCTTTTTCTTCTCGTACAGATGGTAACTTTATTGACCCAAACAAATTTAACCAGCTGGCAACTTTTCCAAAAATAACTTAACTGAAAATCGTGGCAACTCCTTTCAAAATATTCCTAAAAACAGCACTTATTTTGAATCTTTTATGGACTTAAAATTTGAAACAAGTGGCAATTCTTTCTAAAATATTTTTTTACCGTTTTAACAATTTTTTTTTCGGATACTATCTTTTAAAACAATTTATTGACCCAATAAAATGTAAACAGCTGGCAATAAAAAATCGTGGCAACTCCTTTCAAAATACTGTTTCGCTGTAATTATTCATTCTTAGCATTTTGTTGACTTCAAAAMTTGAAAMAGGTGGCAACTCTTTCCAAAAWWTTTTTTATTGTTTTTGAAAAWWWTTTTACGGATGGTTAYTTTTAAAACAATTTGGTTTTTGACCATCATAACATCAAATCGAAAATWGCTCAACTTCAAGTCGCTCCAGTCTTTGCTATTATGCCATTATTTATACTGCAAAAGTAACGAAATTTGTTTCGTATTTAAATAGACATAAAATTGGATATTAATTACTGTAAACCAAATTCGGTAACAATATATACTGCTAGATTAAGTCATTAGAGAACTGAACATAAGCCCACCCACTCTTCCAAAACTGTTTATTTAAATCCCACATAAATAATATCAAGTCTCTTATTATTACACCAGAAGCGCAATGGTTATTAGAGAGTGGTATACACTTTAAATTTCATACATTCTTAGCGTAGTCAGAATATCAACCAAATTGGACCATAACCGCGACCACTTCACAAATAACAAATCATTTCGTTATTTAGAGTAACTAAGTCATTAGGAAAATTATTAGAAGTGAATTCGTCAAGAATTTCACCACTGAAATGAAAATTATATTTTTTTTTTTCAAATACATTCGAATTCTTTCCCCAGCCCTTATATACCGGATATTATAACATCTATTTCTCTAATTAAGCGGAGTAAATTGATGTAACTGATCATCCCCTATCTCACATAACGAATCTAGTCAATTTCAAAGAGGGTACTACGGATAATATGTATACTAAAAGTATTGACTTTTGCTGTGAGAATTTTCATTATGAATTGTTATAGAYCTCTTCAAATAATTCACACTTCTAAAGTTCTTACGATTTATTAGAGTATAATGTGCGTTACAATTCGAACTGATTACACGCATAAATCGTAAACATTAAGTCCAAATGACAGATGACAAGATGACATTCGATGACAGATCAGATGTCAATCATTGACATCATTRAATAAACATCAGTTAAATTTCAAAAGATTTCTTTTATAGCTAATATACTCTTATATGGAGTTGTTACAGAAACAGAGAGGATTCTAAATTATAATGTGATTACATAAATTGAACATATTTTGACAATGACACAATCAACGAAAAGTCATGACAAAATAATTACACAGTATTTACAGTACCCGGCCACTGCATACCGGCATTGCCAACATAATAGCAGGATTTTCTGAATAAAATTTTGTTCTTTTTGCAATGAATTTTAAGTGGTTCTATATATACGGTTATACTGTATACAAACATACATACATAAGGTTGTTTTGAAATGCATGGCTGAGCGCGCGCCAAAATATCATTGGAGCATTAAATGAACCCGACAATTTACATATACACATGCACACATATATGTTCTACGTTTATTTCTAATTGCGATTATTTTTATATTTTTTGCAAGCATATTATATATGTATGTATGTATGTGCACTGTTCAGCGCTGGATTTGACTCTTGTTGTTCATGCACCTAT